GTTACACACAGCAATTTTCAGGCGTCGTGGTGCACGAAATGATCTGTAATGATTGACAGATTGTGAATTTCGGCTGACTAAAGGCGCGGCTGTTTGAGGAAATTTTCATACGAAGTTGGAGTATACTTTAGCGATTAGAAAAGGGAAAAGGAAAGGTTTATCTAAGGATAGAGCTCATTATTATATAAAAAACGAATTTTTTTCAGTTTTTTTTATGTCAAACATAGCAAGCAAAAATTTAAGTTTCCAGAGACAAGACGATGTCGCGGCTAGGAACTGAAACTTCACGACAAGCATCTTATTATCGGTAGCTTATTAATGTATGAACGATGTTCTACCGGCTTTTTGAGGGCTCCTCGCTTAGTGTACGTTGTCTTGGTGGAACTAGCTGCTTTTAAATTAAAAATTATTCTGATTTCATTTCCAATTTCAAGAAATAAAATTAAACTTTGGCGAGATAAAATATCTTTTTTCAACTCACCGTGTTTCTTGGATGTTTGTGACTCGCATAGATCTACGCCGGAGAGAATCTTCTCGTTGTGCGTGCTTCACGGTGGTGTGCGCCTTTGAATTTGATGACGGGTGTGTTGTAAATATATAGTTTCGTGACATTACGGAAAAAACTTACGATAGAATATCATTAACATTGACCGAGAGAGAGGGTTAAATAAACAATGAATTCTGCGAACAAGCCAGCTTCTGAATAGTAATTACATCTGTTATGCAAGATAACTGTGTCATCGTGACGAAAGTGGAATTCAAATTTTTAAGAAACGGTTGCCATGCATTGAATAAAATAATATACTATCCAAATTTGTTGAAGAAAAAGTCTCCTTGATTTCAAAACTAAAACCCTTGAGATGAAACGAGACCTAAAGTACGCGTTCTTTTTAAAAAGAGTTCTATCGTTGTATTTAAACTATTCATCAGAATGTCATGAACAAATGCGATAAGAACACATCGAAGAGGGATCTTCAAATATGAAATATATCTTGAAATACAGCCACAGGCCATTGTGAAGCAACTCGATTTATAATCTCGAACAAGCACATGGAAACCTTTTACTAAGAGTTTTTTTTTTAACATATTCCTCGTTTTTTCGATTCTTCATTTTTCTATTACCGCATCTTCGTCAAAATTTTATAAGCGCTGTCACCTATTTTCTCCATGCTAATGAAAATATTTATCCCATAGCGCCGAAACTTGACGGCAACGTTACAACGATCAATATTTGCGAACGAGAACATTGTTTTTACACTCTGAGTAATTCGTGCGTCTTTTTTCGTTTAGATAACAAATGAACCTTCGGGAGGTTGAGCTGTGTCAAACACTAAAATTTCCGCAAATGGTAATGTGGTCACGTCCCTCCCAATAGAACTTGCATGAGTGGCGTGCTATTTTCCCGCCAAAATCCGTGACGGGAACATTCGTCTCCACGGAAACAAAAGTCTGGGATAGCTGTCTTTTCTTTGATGGGGTTTTATGTTTAAATACTGTGGTTATTTGGAACTCAAATTTGAGAGATCGTTTGCGACTGCATAAAGACCTTGTTTTTTATTTTTTCTTAAAAAGTCAACCTTGAGGTTTTTAACGTTTCTACTTCTCAATATAACAGCTTTTGCTATTTATGTTGAAAACAAAAAGACGCAAACTCCTTAAATGGGAAGCGGTTTTTTTTATTTCACCACGAATAAAAAGGAGATAAACTCGATTCCATTATAAAACAGTGTTGAATCATGTTTTCGTTTACGAAACTGAGTAACGATTCGTGCATCGTCTTACGATAGTAGTCTTGTCAATGAACGGACGTCGACACTGCAATCAAAAAGGTTGTATTCAATTCTGGGTCCATTGACTGATCGATTCGATGACTCGGTGATTGCCTAAATTAGGGCCTGGCCCTGTGGAATTGCAAACTTGAAAAATGAGACCGTAATTCAGAGATCGCTGAATGATATTGATGTGTTTCGTTAGTCATTTTTGACCGTAGCGCTTTACTCTTCTGAAGCAAACGACAGCATTTCCAGGAATGAATATTCAAAGTTTCAATTAAGAGCCTTTGACCGCAAAACAAGTAACTGAAGAAGATTTGTAACAACGGGCGTCTTTTAGCTGCATACATGACTACCAAAACATATTTTGTACAATACATTCACAATGAAATTTTAACAACACTGGTTCAAACTTTATCCATGTTTCGTGTCCTTTTCCTTAAAACCTTTTTAATAATTTAATTCAAATTTACATCAATGTCAATAAAACTAGCTCCCGTACCGACGACGTACATGTGCTTGCTGGAACTCCTTCATGCTTCAAAATGTCGTGAACTTAGTCTTTTTTCGCATTATAACCTTGGGTTGAAAGCACCTGTATTCCCCTTTATTTCGAACACGCATTACCTCAATATTTACCATTTCCTACATCATTGCGTGCGCGGGAAATAATAATAACAAAAAAAATACAGGGGAAAAGACCATGCAAACTGGCCTTCGATTATTTTTACTTTTCATTGTAGGGGGTCGAAAAGGGAATTCTAATTAAACCTAAAGATACATAAAAAAAAGCTGCCCGCGGTCAGGATGTCTTCATCTTCGATAACATGCACGGCGTTCTCCCCTCGATTGATACAATTAATGTTACGTTTGTCATTGAAGATCATTATCGCAACAAAATGGCGTGCGGATATTTATCAACTAATCAGGCCAGCCTTTACTCAGCGTCTGTAAATCAAAACGTGATCTTACCATGAACTCTGTGTGTGGCCATCAAAACGTCTCACTTCAAAACTTAGGGTTTCTCATTAACAAATGTAAGTGAATTTCCAAAGTTGCCCTTGAGCTAAAGTCGCCCTTATGTCGAAGTGAACTTTGTCATTCTTTACTTCACCGAAAAGCGTTCGATTACTTTATGAACACATTACTATCAATGAAATTAAGGACAACCCAAAATCAATTTTGCCCAATTTTGTCGAAGAAGGATAGACCTACAAAGTAAGAGTCACTTTGCATGGAGTACATTCTTTTTCGATGATAAGAACCCGCAATCTCTCATTCCCGAAAAGATGATAACACTCTTTCTGGAAGTACACTAATGAAAAAAAAAATGACAGTCACGTTTAGTTTTCTCCTCAAGGCCTTAAGCAAAATTCTTCAAGGAGGCCTTCAGGAGAGAAATTCTAAAAGACGCTCTTATACCTGCATAAAACTTTTTCCTGTTAGTATTATCTGATCATGGAAGTATCAGTAGCGTTTTTACAATGGTAGGAGGTAACCAAGGAAACTTTTTTTGTCAATAATTCATCATGTAAATGATGATCTCTCAAACAGGGTACTGCCGGATGAAGATGAGAATTAAAATTTTTTTTTAAAGCTATTCATATCATTTAACTTCCCATGAGATGGAAGCATAATTCTGCTAATGTTAAGTTACTCCCGCAAAATCCACAAATATCAAATGTAAATTCGCTTCAAGTTGATAATTCATGAGTAAGCCATTAAATATTTCGACGTTTTGACGGAAGAATTTTTGACCCTTAACAGTTGCACGCAAGCTGAAGTTGTTTTGAATTGACCTGTGCCATGTTATTTCGAATTATTTCGAGTGTCGTAAAGAATTGCGATTATGAAATAATTGGTGTCCTTGTTCTCACTAGGTTCCGATTTCATAGTTTTCAAAAATGCGCCATTCCAATTTTTTATGCCTTCATTTCAAGTGAAGGGTTGTCATCCTATCGATCTCCTTTTAAAACCTTCCCTAATTAAACTTACTCCTAAATCAAAACATCGTGTACAGCGCACGAGATTATTCGGGTCGTTAGCTTGAAAAGTTGTGTATACTTTTATGTCTTTCACATCACTCTCTCCCTCTTAATCCAGCTCTCTTAAGGCGACCCATCAAGAAAGTTATCAGGTACTGATGGACACTAGCAATCGCAGATAAATATTCAGACATATTCTATGAAAATCAGGCACGAACATTTTGCATCGTACATCATCTAGAAAGAGTGAAATTCTGTATTGAAAAGGAAGAAGAAGAAGAAGAAGAAGAAGAAGAAGAAAAATAATAAAGAAAAAGGAAAAGGAGAAAATGAAGGAGCGAACATGAAGAGGAAGAGGAGAATAATTTCTATCCTACACGAGGAAGAGTTCACCACTCAAAGCTCTGGACACAAGATAAAAGTTCTCGACATCCAAGGCGATTTGAAGGTTACAAAGCATCCAGAGCATCTGGAAAAGGAGAAATCAAAGGAAAGGTAAATGAAGTGACAAGTGCCTTTTTGTTTTAGGGATCTTTCTCGAAGTTGGGTGGTTGGATGCTTAACATGGAGGAGAAAGGGGGAGGGGAGGGGAAATACTCACAAATTTCTCAGACATCTCTTTGACATTTTCAAAACACATATCAAGGTACCCTCTGACTGCGATCGTAAGATTTATTCGTCGAGATAATACGCTTAGTACCTCTAGATTCCGCAATCTGGTCCTCTGTATGAGTAGAAAGGGATTTTTTGCCGCATGGTTTTACATTGCCCCGTACCACATTTTAATCAGACTAGGTTGATTAGCCAGTGCAGGATTAGAATCTGAATTCCAATCGAACAGCCTAATTTTTTTCAATTCGGCCTCGTTCAAAATCGACGGCCCTTCGGCTTCATCAGGATAATGCTTTTTAAAAAATAATCCTTGACTTGCCTTTGGACTCACCTCTATCCAGTTTGCACTTCGTTAAAACCCCTCAATTACAAGCAATTCACTTTGCGTTCCGTCGCAAAGCCACCATGGAATTAAACGGCGAACTTCCAAGAACATAGTGAATGATTTGTGTTTATAACAAAGGCTCTTTACTTGGTATAAATTAGTTTTCTAGGTTTGAATATACTCAAGAAAGACAATGTATGCAAGGACCCGCCCTTCTCCACGGGGAAACCATTTCAAGAATAATTAGAAAGCCTGAAACGACTAGTTATATCATAAATATCTAGTTGATAAACATTGCGGTAAACGTCATGCAAAATGTTCCTGTTTACGGCGTGGGTACATTCAACTATTAGCGTATTTGTATGAAAACGTCTTCAGTGTCATTGGTTGCGTTTACTTGAGCGATGAACAATCAAATCAACCCCTATCTAGAATGCTCGAAAGATAAATTAAGTGACAAATTAACTTTATACTTTACGAATAGCCTCGTAATCTTAAATTACAAAACGTGGTGCTTGATTTACGTGCTGAGATGAAGTTAGAAAACAAATTTTCGAAACAAAGTCCTTTTCCACGCAAAGTTGAACGTCATGAAGATAATCGTAACTCCATCGTGCAAACAAAAGCACACAAATAATTCATTTCAGTCTGTAAAATCACATCTTGTATGGATTGAAAATAGAATCCGCTCTGTGGCGTATCAGAGGCTTTCCCTGCAAGTTAAATATTCTAAAGCAGGAAGTGCTCTCGACATTATAGAAATGCTCACTCATGCCTCCAGCCCAAGGTAGGTAGCAGTGAGGTGCAGGAAAGAGATTATGACATGAGCACCATTCATGAGTGGTTCCTTTTTGAAACGTTGGAGGCAAGCAGGACACACTGAGGTGTGGAGGAAGGAGCACAGAAGGCCTTCCACCTACATCATCAAGAAGTGATGTGTGGGATTCAGACCACATTTTAAAGGGGAAGTGAATCTTTTCGCTAGACGATTTGCGAGTGTCAATTTGTTTTAAGGATGTCGTAGATGGCACAATTTTCTTATCTGTTTTTCGCTTTCTTTTAGGCTTGCGTCTCTTTGGTTGGTATTTGTATCCAGGGTTGTCCATCTTATGCTGCTCTGTCAGTCTCCGCGCTTCTTCCACGTACGGTTCTTTATCTTCTTCAGACAGTTTACGCCATGCTGCACCAAGCGCTTTGCTCACTTCAGCGTTGTTAATTCCAGGGTGTTCCTTTAGGATGTGGTAGCGCTTCTCTCGACTCCACACCATGAAGCAATTCATGGGTCGTTTCACATGGGCTGAGGACTCCATTCTTAGTTTTGGGTGCGTGCCTTCGCGAAATCTTACAATGGTTTCGTTCACAAAGCGTTCAAATAACACGGAAACTCTTGCTGTGATTTGAAAAGCCCAATCAATTAGATGCGAACAAAGCCAATTAAAGACATATTAGTGGCAGGTATTCCTCAAAGCACCAAAACAAAGTTCCACCAGAAACCGAAACCCCTTCTGAATTATTCATAATGTCGTGAACACCTTTAGGCGAAAAGGCTGCACATAAAGTTACACGCATGCAGAACACCTTCAATGTTACAGACGGGGTAAGTTCAAGATCTACTTTAGAAATTAAATATCATATTTGCACTTTACATTCAAATTGACTTCATGTGGTTGCTACTATAAAACATCTCCACCGAAAAAGTTTGCGTGTTGTGCACATCACAGCACGTCAAAAACAGAATCAAAACAACATGCATATGTATTCCATTGTTTATATAAGCAAGCGATAAGTTTGATACAGTGACAGCTGGCGATTTTTACGAAGAACAAGAAAGAAAATAAGAAAGAAATAATGACAGACTTGTCAAAACATGTAATTTTGAGAGAACAATGCAAAATGAAGCGGGAGAAAATTTCTTTCAATAAAAACTTGTTAATTTCTTTTTCTTTTTCCTTTAGGAAAACAGGAAAGGTAGATTTAGTAACTTGGAACATCTGTGGCTATGTTTTGAAATATGGGTCTACATTGTTACTGTTTTGAGACTCAGCTTCCACGGGAGTTTACGCCCACTCTCTCCTTGAAGCCAAGACAACATGTTTTCCTCTTCGTTCTGTTTTCATCTCAAACATGGTGAAGTCCTTCTCAGAACCCGATTCCACATGATAAAAAAGGATTTTGAGAGCTACCTTTTTAGGAGAGAGTTCTTCCAAAATCGTGTCATCACATCTTAAGGAATTGATTTTTTTAAATTGACGTTCGAGAAAAGAAAACAGTAGGCAATTCTTTTCCGCGGCCTTAAACGAGATAAACCAACGAGGAATGCTCGGAGAACAATAAAATAATTTCAGTGTAAGATTCGGTGTCAACTCTTATCAAGAAATGTCGCGAGCATTGCATAATATGGAGCGAGAAGTCAACCAAAGCACCTGAAAGAAAGAAAAATTCCTGAGTTTTAATTTGATAAAGAAATACCGACATCAAAGAAAGAAATACTTTTATTCGTAGTTTGATCTCGTTTCACTTCTGGGTATATTTGGCCTGATAAGAAAAACAAAACGGCGTGGAAACTGGATTGGCCAATCCGATAGTGTACACTATGCACGCATACATCTCAGGAAGATGAAATGTTGTTACTATTCCAAAAGTGCTATTCAGCAACAAATAAAAGAGGCAGTTCCAAATCGATATCTTAGGGTGAAAAAGCCATCAATGTTTCAACCGTTGTTAGCCGTGTTCTTAGCGTAATGTAAAACGAAGCCTTTTGAATCACACTGGCAATATTCAAGATATTTATAATCTCTTGCAATATTCTAATTCATATTTTAAATAAAACAGTAGATTGCTTTATGACAAACATGAAAATCACCAACAGTAAGGCAAACTAAAATAACAAATTACTAGGACAAAAAAGGTGCTGGCAGAAACACGAATTCTAATTATACCTGCACAGAGGAACGTAATTAAAACATCTGTCAATTATGATGATTTTAAATTGCATTCTTTTTTAACAAAACCGAAACCTCGCGATGCCGGCATATGTATGAATAAGGTATTCATCGCCTGGCTTTGATTAACGACGACAAGAGACTCTTGGCGTGAAAACTCAATCCTTGCGTTGAGATTAAACGTAGACTTCAACTCAAAGGCGTCGCTCCTCTCATTTTCTTTCCAATAACATCACTTATTACTTCATTTCAGGTAAGTGAAACAAAGTCTTCCATACGATCTGAACGTACGGCGCCAGAGCCGATTAATTAGCCAAGAGACCTAAGCTGTGCCCGCACGTTTTTTATTGTTTTTTTTTTTTCCCATCGTGTTGAGTTGACTTTTCGCAGTTAAAAGTTTGGCATCAGGAGGGTCCGTGTCATTCAACTTTCATCTGATGACTCATGGTGGCACCGGATGAAAATACAGGTATAGGGCTTTAAAGAGTCCTATTCCCTGTGTCCTTTGTCACGTCATAGTTATGAATGACTTTTTGACTTCGAGCCCTCTTTGCCCTGATTTGAAGTAATGAAACTCATAGAGAATCAGTGTATAATAAAAAACAAATAAGCCCATAGCCTTGAAGTGGCTTTGGGTCGAAAAATTATCAATATTTTGATATCATAAGGTCTAAGTATTTCAGAGTGTTCGTCAATTTATCCACATCATCTTTAGCATGGCGTTCCTGTCCCCTTGTCGCATGGGTGATACCTAGCGCTTCCCAATATTGTGTCCTAGTTCGGCAACTATATGCGCCATTCACACTTGCTGTACACCAGAAATATCTTGGGGCGGTGGGGGGGAAATTGGATTTTTCATTTTGTTCATGGAGTAAGAAATACCTAAGTCAAAAGACAAAGACCCTGCCTGGGGCTTCTTCCGAGGCGCCACGAGTCTAAGCGACTGCTATACATTTACACTAAAATCACAATCCCCTCTAAAGGAAAAGCTGAATCCAATATTTTCAATCTCTAGTGTATTTTGCATTAGTATCAATGTATGTATTTTGTATTTTTGTATTTTTTATACGCAATTTGCAGCTTCCTGCATGCAAGTTTCCATGTTTTGTAATGTAATTCTTCCTTTTGTGCTGTGTTACATTATTTTATTACACTCGGTACTCTTGAGTTTGTACGATAAATAGGTCCCACTTATATTTGTTACTTGTTTAGGATTTTTAGCCTTTTAATTTTCTAATTTGTATACACCCGTAAAAGGCCGAAGTATTAAATCACCTGAACAGATTAGGGTAAGTCTTCTCTCTTCAACCTACATAGCCTCAACAAAAGCCTTGATTTCAGATCGAAAAAGAATCGTGTCTGCCATACTAGCTCATTTTAAAACTAAATTCAGCACTCTATAATTTAGACAACAATGAATAAATAATGCATTTCCGCTTTTTGCGCCCTCTTGAAGGTTACCATTAATTTGTTACGATACGCTTCCCTTTGTGTTGCGTGATATTACCTGACCTAATTC